ACAAGCTTTCGGATTGAAATTAGAGTGTGCCGCTTTGAAATTCAAATGGGAACCGCGTTGAATATTCGACGACGCTGCAAAGTGCGGCAAGAAATGGATTCTCGCTTTTATTTCAACACGGCAAATCCACCCTTGGTGCGGAACAAAGAAAAATGACGCGGCGCTCAAATGCGAAACAAAGTGGGTGTTTGTTTTGTGGGGAGGGTGGAAACGCGTCGCTCCAAATTCCACGGCACGTTTCCACTTTTATCAAAGAAAAAAAGATTTTCTTTTGCTTTTAGCAGAGCACACATTTTTTTTTTAAATATTCTTCTTCGTCACTTTCGCCTCTTTTGCGCCGCTTGCATTTTATTTTGCTTGCTTTCGCCGCACTAATTAGGAAGGACTGGCTGCCGACGACGGACGGACGGACGGACAGATGACGCAGCGCCGCGTCAGCAGAGCTCCAGCGCAATCGGCCGCTGACAAGCGATGGCCGCCCGAAATAGGCCGTGACACTTCTTCTTACTCTCGCAGCCAGACAAACAATAGCCGACTCGTCATCGCCTTCCAATGTGTCACAAAAATAACTCACACCTACTGAGAAAACTTCACGTGTAACAAAGCTAAGGTTGTTTGCTGGCCCAGAGCAAAATACGGCGGGCAACAAAATTGCTCTAAAGAGATGTGGTTCGGAGAGTTCACAGTCAATTTTCTGCTTTTTAAATGTTCCTTTTAGACCCACTGAAATAAAAGTTTTCATTTAAAGTAGAAACAGACTGATTACTCTTTAATTTTCCTAAAGAAAAAATTGTAATTTTTTTTAGTTTTGTAAGAAATTAAAGATAAAAGTTTAAACATGAAGAAGTATGTTTATTTTAATTCATGATATTTTATTATTAAAAATTAAATTGAAATTTCTGAGATATCTCTGAATTTCCAATAAATATTCATCTGACCAAAGTAATCAAAATTCTCATCAGTTGATGGAAGCTGAAATCGATAATGATAATTAATGATGATGCTTTTGGCAAAAAAATTGTCGGTTTTCCAGTCATGGTTTCCTTTTGAAAAGTAATGTATACAAAAAATGAGCAAACAAATTATTTAAATAAAAAATCCTCTTGATGTCTTCCGCATGAAATGAGGAAGGTTTTATAGAAACAAATCTGTTGCAAAATGTTTTTTTTATAATTTTTTTATATTAATATAATGTCATATTCATGAACATAAAGCTTTTTAAATGAAAGACGAGATGCTCAAATTTATATAATTGGAAAAAGTATTTATTCGCAAGAAACTCTAAAGTAAAAAATGGAAATTCATTACAATTTTTAAATATACTGAAAAAATTATTGTTGTTAATTGTCCTGATTTTTACGATACATTGTTTACATTCCAATGTTGAAAATAATTTATTTAAAAGTAGGAATTGTTGGACAAAACGGAACCGGCACTAGCAAGAATTTGCTAAAACTTCTGAGATCAAAAAGACCCCTATTTATTTTTTATTCTCTTCTACCTCAAAGACGTACGCAAAATTTGATTAAAAGAAAAATCCAGCTTTGATAAAACCCACATTAATTTTCAGTGGCGAAGTCGAGCGGCGGAAATAAATTTCCCTACAAGAGGAGACGTGCGATTTGTAAGATGGCGAGATTGGTTCAAGGTGTCTGGCTGCAAGTGCAAAAAGAAGCGCGTCGCTCCGTCTGACTCGGCAGGCAGTAAAAAGCAGGTTGCGCGTCACCGTTAACACGGGGCGGCGAAAAAGCGGCTCAAGTTATTCCGATGTTTACGACGGCGGGCGACACGGTGCTGCCGTGGTTATCGCGAGACCGCCGCCGAAATGACAGATGAGCACTTTCGCTCCGCCACCTGAGACCGAACGATGCATCACACGCGAGAAGAAACGCCGACCACTCGTCAAACCAATATTTTGCAAACACATACATTTCTTCCCCTCTTATTAAATTTCCCGAATTTCTGCATTTTTTCCTTCGTGAAAGGGGTCGTCCTGCGAAGGAGCCTCGGCGGGACAATTAGAGCCGTCCTCGCAAGATGGATGGCCCACCTAATGGGAGTCGAGAGATGGACGGCGGCCGATAAGTGCGTCGGCACCACAACCATCGCTCATAAATTCCGCACACACGCACGTCCGCCCACTTCCATTAATGAGCCAGGCAGGTTTTGTTGCTGGGCCAAAAGACGTCTTTGCAAAAAAGAAATGCAGTTTTTTTTATAGAAAGAGAATTCGCATTAATTTAAAAAAAGAATAAGCTACTAAAATCTAAGTTTTACCAGTTTTTGCTTATTTTTGTCTCAGAATTCAACCCACGGCGTCTCCAGCATTGGAAGGCAAACTTGTTATAATTGATCAAAGGGAAGCTCTTGGACCAACAAGGCCCCTTTTGACTCTCGCCGAGATCAATTCATTGAGCAGATAAGGTGCATCTGAAGGCGAATCAAAGGCATCAAAGCAGGTGCGCCCCCGTCTCCTGATTACTAACTTGGCCAGTGTTTGATGTTCAACGCCATTATGCAGTTCCAGCAGCTCTAATGAGCAATCAAAATGTACAATAATATTCTCAATTCCATTTAACGCTAAGGAGAGCAAAAGGAAGGTAAAATTGAATAAAGAAATTCACGTTAAACATTTAAGATTTTTATTTTAAGTGGTTTTTTTTTGTAAACTTGAAAATTGGATCCACCGCAGCAGCACCGCAGTCATATCAAAGAGCGACAATCAAACTGAAACTTCCAATTCATCCAGGAATTAAACCATTTAAACATATAAATAAATGTATAAACTCTGCAAGAAACAAATGTAAACTATTTTCGTTGTTTACGTTCATCACAAAAAGTGTTTTTAGAAGATTCAAATTTTGCAAAAAGCGGGGATTGCGCTAGTGTATACGCAATTAATTTTTTCTTCGCCCCGCTCTCGTCTTGGCGCGGATTATTAATCACGCGAGGGGCACCTTGTCACTTGCAGATTAACATAATCAATTAGCGCGAACAGGAGAGGCTCGATCGGCCGGCGAATTAATCTTGTGACACGCCCCGATTATAAATTGCTCTCTCGGAATCCAAGACGGAAAACGAATGACTCGATTCGTCTCCGTTTCCTTCCTCCGCGCTCTGTAATTGCGAATTTCGAGAATAATTAAACCAACAAGAATTAATATACATCGCTTGAACCTTTCTCGGCTCGCTGCACCCTTTCAATCAATTGAGGACCGAAATAGAACACGGAGCATTGAAAGCCCTTTAGCGTGGCAATTAGACACACCTGCGTGAGCCTCATTTCTAAACATATAAATTCTCATATTCTCGATCAAAGAAAGTTTGCCGCGATTTAATTCTGAAGCAATTTCCAGCAGCCAAGGAGGAAAGAAAAGTAATGGAGGAAAATTCCGTTAGCAGAAGAGAAAGAAATAAGGAGGGAGGCATTAAAATGCAAATCGAGTTTGTTGCTGGCAGAGAGAAAAGTTCAATTCATTTCAGAAGCAATTTCGTTCGGATCGGCAGAAAGTTGAAATGAAAAGTCTTATAATTCGGCTGCCGTGCTAATGGATCGCGGGCTAAAGTGGCTGCGATTTTCCGCCGCCACCGCGCTGCGGTGAAATAATGAATGTTTGATGTGCCTTTTAAGGGGGCTCGTTCGTCGGTAATCCAGTCGGGAGCGCTATTTCTTCCGTCGAATTTGCGTCTCGAGAGCGATGTGAAAATAATGAGCTGTTGTTTGCGAGACAGAGAAAGCTGCAAAGGGGAAATCGCGCGTCATTCCCAGCTTCCTGCAGCGAGGGAAATTGGCTGAAATCGGGTTTATTGCGAAACACATTTTAACGCTGCACTTCCAGACGCAAACGTGTAAAAAACAGTGGCAAAATACATTATTTCTGCATCAAAAGACATAATTAACGCGTCAACGCTTTGCCGTAATCCATATTTTTATTTAAATTCAATTGTTGATTAATTTTTCAATTTCATAATTATTTATGTAATAATAATGAAATAATTTAATAATCTGTTAAAACAAATTAATATCAAACTCAAAATAATTTCTGTAAAAATTAGATTAAAGCTAAAATTCAGTAAAATGAATTCGGTAAATATTAATTTAATTCTTAAAATACAATTTAATAAAAAAATTATTTTAAGTGTTTTATTTACAAGTCTTTAATAAATTAAACACAGTTGAGATAAAACAAAGCAAAACGCACAACATTGCCCCTCGTCGTCTCCATTTCAATAAAAAATTAAATAATAGTACTTGTCGTAATTTCATTAGAAAAACAACATTAGTTAAAACAATGAAAATAGCAGACAAAGTGATTAATCCCTAGTATTTCTACCCGTCTCAATGTTTTTAAGCAGTTGTAACAGAAAATTTCAAGTGATTAAGAAAACATTAGTCTGATCAAATTTGATGTTAAAAGATGAGAAAAGTTAAATTCAAAAATTCGCTTTTCCTATCTTTTTAAAATAGTGGAAGACGCTTGATAAATTTTTTTACATAAAAAGATTTCTAACAAAGATTAAATCTGCAGAAAAATTTTTATTTTGCAATCTATAATTATAAAAGTTTTTGTTTGTTACGTTTAAACACATTATAAACAAGTTTCATTTTTCAAACTAATTTTATATTTTCCCATATTTTCCAAAAAGAATAAAAAAGAGACATCAGAACAAAATGATAACATGTAAAAACGCCACATTTTTGCATCTCTCTGAATTTCCTCTTTGATTTCTCGAAGAAAAAAAATTTCAGGGCAAAAAGTAGCTACTTTTGTTTGCGGAATTTCGGGAGAGGTGCACGTGTGTGTGTGTGTGTAACTGGGCGGTCGGCGAGAGCAAACATGGGCTGGTTCTCTTCTCTCTCTCGGTTGTTGGTCGGGACCAACGTGGGCAAAGAGGGTCGCGCGCGCAATTAGCGCTGCTATGGGCGCTGAGTCGGCAGTTTTTTTGTGTTTGCTCTCGTGTTTCGCCAGCAGCACAAATTCCAGCTAGTTGGTACTCACCGAATTAATGGCAGTCATATCGGCTCTGCTCAGACCGATGGCCTCGGCGTCAGCTAAACTGCTATCGCTCTGAAACACCACCGAAAGCACTCGTTAATCTCAGCGCCGCTGTTTATTTTCAATTCCACAGGCTTCGGGGACAAAAACAAACGCCAACAATATAACGGGACGCACAAGAGTTTGCGATTAAAGAACTCAGAGTGGGCTTGGCAAAATATAGTTTGTAAACATATTGGTTGGAAACTGAACTGATAATTAGGGAATTTCAGGGTTGACTCAAAATTTTGTAGCAAAATACTTTGAATTGGTGTTGATTTGTTTTCAAAGCAGCTGAAAATGTAAAAAAATTTCAAGTAATAATTTGCTATTTTTTTTTGCAGGAAATGTAATAATAAAAAATTGAAATTAAAATTAAAAATAAACAAACCATTTACATTTTTGTTTGCATTGAATTCTCGTTGACTTCCACAATCACTTGAAGTCCACATTAGGTTTTTTTTAATAATTAAAATACATAAATTTCAGTTAAAACAATTAAATTAATCCCTTGGAACTTTATGATTTCCGTTTAATTTTATTCAAAAAAATTTCACTCCAATTGAATTTTTCTGCGTCAATATAGTTTCTTATCGGTTTGGCATGCATGTTGTAAAGGGTGGTTGGCCGCGGTCTGGTCGCGTCGTGAGGGAGCTGCGGCGGTTTCACTTAGCGGCATTGTGGCAGCGCGCATCAATTTTGCAGCTACCTGTTACCTCTGCTCTCTCTACTCTCCACTGACGTGAGCTGCAAACCTAGCCCTCTCTGCCTCTTTTACGGCCGCGTGTGCTTTTATGCTGTGCGGTCGGCCGAATTACATCGCGCTCACCTACCTACCGACTGTGCCCCTTCATCGCCGAATAATTAGTGTGTACGACACGACCAACACGCTCGATATTATTATGCACTGTACCACCAGCAAGCATGTTTGCCAAAGTGCAAATTGCCACTGCAGCACTAAAATTATTACAAACAACGGCGTCAATCTTTTTATATGGAACAAAAAGCTGCATTTCATTATTTTAATGTTTGTTTAAGTAAATTAAATTAGTTTGATTACAACGAATGATTGAATGTTAATTGAATGATTGTTAAAATTTTGTTTATAAGAATTAAATGCAATTTAAAATTCTAAATATCTGAAAGGAGGCTTACTTAGCAAATTTATAAGAATTGAAGTATTTTTTTTGTTATAATTTAAAAATCAAACAAATTATTCTATCTCTATTTGAATTTTCCCATCTTGAAATGCTGCCTCACTAAATTATCATTGATCTGATGAGGTTCAGAATATCTTCCATTCCTCTCCAATTAGCCTGACGTAAGTAGCTTATGCAGAACCGCATCATCCTCGAAATTACCCTGACAACAAAATCCTTGAGAAGGAGGCCAATCATTCCTTTCCAATTTTCTTTTTCTAGAAAACGGCCAAGTTCATCTTCTACAGATTTCCTTCTCAAAGATTTGCTCAAAGAACTCTCAAATTCAATGATTTCCAGATTTATTTCAAGAACATTTGAGTGTTTTGTGGTAGAATTTCACGACGGAGGGTTGATTTATAGGGATTTGAATTTAAAGTCGGCTTTCCTCGATGAGCTTTGTGAGTTGTTTATTGTTTAGGAGAAAAAGAGAGCAGGATATTGTTATTTTTTTCTTAAACAATAAACAACTCACAAAACCCATCGAGGGAAAAGCCGAATTTAAATTCAAATCACCATAAACATTTGAGTACTTTAATTTATATAATTTATCTCTTGCACAGAAATTGAGAATTGAATCCAAGCCTTTCCAGATTTTGTTTTGCAAGGTTCCCCTGAAATAGGGAATATTTTTTGATAATTTACAATATAAATTTGAAAATTATTAATTACCCGTCTTAACTGTTTAAATTTGAAATTAATTAATTCAGAAGTAACACAATTTATTAAGATAAAAATTTACAACGATTAATATTCTATTGAAATGCACATTGAAAAATGGAATTAGAAAAATATAGAGAACTTTGATTTCCAGCTTTGAAAATTTTATTTTTAAATAAATTTTTGCAAGTGTCAATATTAAATCGTACAAATCAAGTTAATGCGCAAAAAACTGACGGGGGCGAATGACAGGGATTGACGTCAACGTGACAATTAACGGTGAAATGCAGTGCGCTGTCGTTCGCTCGCTCTCGCGTCCAAATTAATATAATTCGCAAACGTGTGCAATTCGCCTGACGAATGTATCGGGTCGCTCGCATGAAAGCGTTTCAAAACCGCAGCAGCTCGCTCGTGTTCGCTCGCTCGCGCTCATTTGTACATTCCAGTCGAAAGGGAATAATTTATTTGCTCGCTGGAGTGGCGGTAATTACAGAGAGCGACACGAAAAACGCCAGCGCACACATCAAACGCGCTCCAAATTCCGCACTCCAATTCGTCCAAATTCTCAACACACACATACGCAGGATTGAAAAATTCTCTGTGAGAGAGAAAGAATTTTTGTCGTTAATTGCGCACTTGAACAGGTGCGATCATAATAAATCTCGGCTGCACTCGCTCGCTAGGCCGACGCAGCCCAATTATGCTAATTTCTGTCGTTGGCACCGAGAGACTGCCATTAACCCACGACTCGCGCGCAAAGGTCGAATTCGAGTCGAAATTAATTATGGTTCTCCATGAATGTCACGAGCTTGGTATATGAATTATGGAGCAATTTAATTAGAGTAATAATTTAATTAATAGATTTTGTTGCAAAACAAGTTAATCCCTTTTAATTGCAATGTTGGGCGGTTTGTTTGCTGGCATAAATATTAATTTGGTGGATAAACTAAAATTCAAACGTGGTAAATAGTCCTGGTATGAACAGAGACAGGGAATACATTTTTAAATTGTTAATTTATATATATGCAATTATATAAATATTATTTATTTCTTTCATAATATTGAAATTATTGTAATACTATTAATCTGATTATTTTTATTGTATTTTAATTTAAAGTTTAAATTTATTATAAATTAATATTTTTTAAATCAACGTACAAGCAAAATTTTTTTTGGCCCCAGGCCACACTGTACCATTAATTTTTAAAAATTATCTTATAAAAAATATCGTGAAATACAAATATATCAAATGTTAATTATAATTACAGAGATGAAATGATTGTATTTTCGCTAGTGTGTTTCAATAAACTTAAACTTATCTAAAAATTAAAAATATTCTTCAAGAAAAATTTTCAAAGAGCACTGTGTAGATTTTCATATTTTTGTTGGATTCAAAATTTTTGACTGTTACAAAATTATCCAAAATTTAAAAATATTTTTTAAAAAATTAATAAATATATTGGAAACCTGTTGGAAACAATTTGAAATCAAAACTCCTATTATTGGTTTGCAATTTTCTCCTCTGCTCTCATATTTGAAATAAAAAACCTCTTTGAAGAGAAACACTTTCATTGAGATGTTTCTAGTACAAAGAATCGTCGCTTCCTCTGTTGAGCAGAGAAATTCGATATAAAAACGGAGTTAATAATCAATTTGAACACAAAAGCACCAATCCTTTGATAAAATAATTTCTACATTAATTTATATGCCTTTACATCAATGCATGTTTCAATAATTTTAATTTTAATATCCTCTCTAATGAACTGAAAACTTTCATAAAATGATCATGTTTTTCAAACATATATTACAAAATTGAAAATGGAATTTTCTCAGCTCTGCAGATTCAGTAATAAAATTTAATATAGCACTTGAAAAATTTTAGAATTTTATTGCTTTTTTATCTATCTTTTTTTTAGTAAACAATCATCTCTTTTTGAGAAAATTATGAAAAAATTAATTAATATTGTGAATGCTATTTTATTGCTACAGAATCTAGAAGTCTCTTGTGAAAGAAGTTTTGAAAATTTATTTTGATTTCCTTCTGAGCTAGGGTGCAGGTTAGTGGAGGAAGGGTGGAAAAGGACAAACCGGGCTGCACTCGTTCGCTGCGTCACCTGATCGAGGAGGCCGCTGTTGACGTGACCCATGCTGCACTACTACTTCCTAACCAAACTGATTAGCACTTCCTGCCCAGGCACTTTTTCGCACTACCCTGTCCTGCTTGCGGGCATCGGACGCACCTCGGCAAACAACGCACGCAGACTGACACAAAGGGCTTTCTTTTTTCCCGACCGATTCCCCTCCTAGTCTTTCTCTCTCTCTCTCTCTCTCTCTCTCTCTCTCTCTCTCTCTCTCTCTCTCTCTCTCTCTCTCTCTCTCTCTCTCTCTCTCTCTCTCTCTCTCGGCGTGGCGAATCTCTCTCTTTTTACTCTATTTCTGGCTCACACACACAGCACAGAGTCCGTCGCGCCGCCAAACACAATTTTCCCTCTCTCGCTCGCTCGTACACCTCTCTCTGGTTTTTAAATTTTGAATTTTGCTCTCGCGTCGCTGCGTTATTCTCGTTATTTATTTCCCAGCGAGCTGCTCTCAGGCGTGTATTTGAAGGCACAAAAAGGCCTCTCCAGATTTATTAATATCAAAAAGAGTGCCTGCCTCTCTTTCTCGACGAGCGAAATGAAAAAAAAAGAAGAAGAAGAAATATGTAAAAGGACGCCTGTGCTTCTCTCTCGCACACGAGGGAATGTTGACGCGGCCACGCAGAAAGCGACAAACATTCTTGTGAACGGCCGGTTGCATACTTTCGCATTTCGCAGGCACCGAAAGGAGACAAAAAAAAGTTTGAATGAAAAGAAGTGTTCGCTTTCGTCCTCTGACCTCGGAAGTGGGTCACCTGAATTTCGGTCCATTTAGCCTTGGAACTATTTCGATTCTGATGTGAAACTTCTCGATTGAACGTCCAGAATAAGAACTTTCAAGACAACAAGACAATTGGCAGAATATCTTAATTCAAACGAGAAACATCTATAAAAATTTATAACTTTTTAATATGTAAATTAATTTTATATTTTATATATTTAGTCTATACTAAATTAAGATTAAAATTAATAAGTTTTGTTTGCTGCTAAATTAGAAATGATTGTTTTTTTATCTTTCATTGCGGACTCTATTTTT